TTATAATTCTGTTTTTTCTATTCATTATTTCAAATCATCCCAAACTTCTGTAGTGTTAGGTAATGTTCATTCAGTCCGGAAGTAAAAAACGTAGATACATGCAGAAGAAACAATCTTGCTAAATTAATGGTTAAAGATTGCAGAATATTGAAAACAGAATGCTGGCTAGCTTTTCACAGCAGTTGCATTTAATGTTTCATTTGGAAGCCCTCAGATGTATTTTACATGCTACCAGTGCCAGAGAAAAGAGAATCTGATGCAGAGCTTTCTAAAGCAGATGAAGTTTGGAACAGCAGAATAGTTTCAGTATGGAAAATAAAGAGAAATAATCCAATTGGTTAAGCTAAATTACACTTGTGGCAAGTCTGTAGAATGAGTAGCTTGTCTCAGCTGAATGTTTCACTGAGAAAAATATGTAAAGCAGAAGGAAAATGGTCTAGGCTTCTTAGCAACTTAGTAGTAGTATCACAATTTTGTTCGTATTTTGACCATCCTTTCATTTTTGTCAGACTGCCAACAAAAATAGTAGCCCATATGAATGAGTTCTGCTCTTTGGTGTTACTGACTTGTGTCGTGCTTTTTTGCTAGAAGCGTTGCAAGATGTAAGGCGCGCAACTATATTCCCACTTACTTAGAGGTGAGCTGGTCTATCAACTTCTGTGCTGCTACACCTTTCTCTGTATCTAAGAACACACCTTTGCCGTGCGCCCCTACAGGCGCATTAACTTCTCTCTGCAAGCCACTGCTACACAATCCCCTACTCCCCCATTGTCATCTCCATGTTTTAAACAGTCCAGCATTCTACAGTCAATATCCGTTTGAGGGCAGAGTGTGCCATAAATATCCATCACTGGTAATGCTTGTATCTCTTGAGCCTAAATGCTGCCTTCCTAGTGTGAGTCAGACAAGTCTGTTGCTGCTCTTCTTGAGAGTTATTCAAGTAAGTGATGGGTGGTTTTTTTGGTTTTTGGGTTTGGGTTTTTTTTATATCAGCAGCACTTCTGTGAACTTGCTAAGGACTTTCTGACATGTCTTCTAATATTTTGTTATTCCTCTTGTGCTCCTCGAGAAACCTCCCCTGGCTTTAGGATGGTTAAACATGCCAATTTTCTAACTTGGCAGTTAGGTAACTGCTAACTCTCATGTCTCTTGTATTGTGGTACAACTTGATGGCTTCTGTTCTAGACATAGCTGGTGTTGTGCTCAAAAAATCGCACAATGTACTTTTCCTTTGGTACTTAGAAAGCTCAAGTCTCAGCCCGTGGCTCCTTTCACTGCATGTCGTTTTTTTCTGGCTATTTTTCTTCAACTTTAATAGTGTTGCTTCTAGTGTTGTGTTGCATAATGCTTGCTGCCTGGATATGTATGTATTCTACTCTGCCTCGTTTCTCAGTCTTTGTTCTTTTAATTCTCTCTCTCTGCCTTTTCTGCAACCCTGGCGCTGTCTTAGACCTGCATTTCTTTTTTCATGTGACTACAAGTCCTCCTTTCTCACCTCAGTCCCATCTCCACGTTGCCTTGCTGGCACCCTGCTAAGTATCTACAAACATGTCTTTGTCAGCTCTTGCCTTCATAGAAGCAGCTCCTACAGCTGACTGGGTGCTAGCAGAACATAATACTGCAAAGGCCTATACCCCAAATCTTCAAGCACTGACCCCCAGGGTGGAAAAAGACTTACAGAGTTAGATCATTGGAGTCTTTCACACAAATACTGTAGGTTCTCTCCAGCTTTGATCATCCTGTGCTTTCCTCTTTGAAGACTGAAAAGATATGAGCAGGGCATCTTCCATCCCTTTCCTTAGGAGAATATTCTGTGCCTAGTTGATCTGACTGTTAGGCATTCTTTCCTAAATTAGTCATTTCCCTAATCTGCTATTATTGCCAGCTATATGTTATGACGTGATACTCTCCACAAAAAATCAGTTAAACCTACTCTTTAACAGCAGGGGAAAATCTCTTTATTACATGATGAGGAAGCCAAAAAAGCTCTCCTCCTTTTTCATTATGCTTGACAGAAATGCTTATGTTCACGGGTTTTTCCTCCTGAATGATCTCCATGCCCGGGAAAATAATCTGAAACCAATTTGTGGTTCCCATGAAGCTCTAATTAGTAATGACATCATGTTACAACAGAATGCTATTCAGCACTTGGTGCTGAGAGAAGGGATTTTTTTTTTTGTGTGTGTGGTTGGGGGTGGTGGTTTGGGTTCCTCATCTCCATGGGATTGGAAGTGAACCCCACAAAACAAAGCTTTTGGGGTTTCCTTCAGTGGACTCCAGTGGAAATCCGCAGAACTTAGACGTTAAATTTGCCCAGAGCTTTGAAGCTATCTCTTATGCTTTGATTTGTTTCAGGAGGCTGCACAGCAGAAAAAGAAAGTTATAGTTAGTTTCTGCGGCCCTTTGAGGGAGGAGGGGGTCTTGGGAAACAATAGCAGCTGGGTCAGGGTAGAAAAGCTGTGTCTTTGGTCACAAACAGGTATCTGCAAAACCTCAGGAGACAGATAGGGAAGAAGCCCTGCCTCAACAGAGCAACATACATCCCCCCCCTTTTTTTTTCCCCCTTTTCTTTTACTGTACGTTAAACGTAGTAGGTAAGTGCTGAACGGGTGGAAAAAAAAAAAAAAACCACCCCAAATAAAGTGCTGTTTGGGAATGAGCAATAGAGATAACTCCCTTATTTTATTTAATTTGTATAAGATAACTGTAGACTGAATCTTGAAATCTGTACCCTATTTTGGTTGATGTCAGTGATGATTTTCCTTGAAGAGAGGTGAGCTAGCATTAGAGTGGTCTGTCATATAGGTATAAGCATGTATAATATATATTTTCAATGGTGGTGTGGTTTTGTTTTGTTATTTAGCAACCAAAGCCTCGTGTTTCTGAGCATGAAAGACACCTTCATTTATCTGTGCTGCCAATGGTATGGCATGAATCTGATGATAGGGATTTTTCCAGTGTTTCAGAAGCAGTTAATTTTCATCATAACCCAGGACTGTATGACTTTCAGAAATGGGATTATAATGGACATAGTAGAAGAGCCAAAAACTTAGTATGATTCTTTAGTAGTGAAGTCCTCTGTTACTTCAAAGAGTATTATCTGGGGCAGCACTATCATCTGGGTTCAGATGTGCTGTTACTATGGATACATATTGGCCAAATGGCTTCTAGTTATCACATTACCTAATTTAGCACTTAAATAATGTTTTTTCTTCTGGTTATGCAATGAATAACATGACTGCTTAGTAAGTCACATATGGTGGCATTTTGTATTTGCATCCTGTGGTATGAAATTCTAAGTATTTAACCAAGTATATATCACCTCCTGTACAGATTGACATCTACCATTAATGCCAAGATTCAGTTTGTAACATTGAATAAGCCAACCGATAAATTTAGGTTTCTAACTTTACATTTTATCCTTCCACCCATGTTTGTTCATTTTCTTCCTTCCTGTTATTCTTGTCTATGAGGTGTTCACTTCTTAAGTCCAAAATTCTTGCTTGGTTAACAGCGCAAAACTTTTACAGCAGCTTTGTTTCTGTTAAAGACTTTACCTGAAGACTGTAAACTAAATGCTTGGACTTCAGTTTTGACCTCTAAATGTCAGTGCAGTTAAATAGTAATGTTTTATTTCTTTATTTTAAAGTCTTAGTTCTGAGACTCAATCAGCCTGAAAACAAGCTCTTCCTATTTATATATGCTGGGTAGGCAAGAAGGAATATTTTTGAAATAAAAGTACAGGAAAACAAATGGGTTTACAACACATCCTCTCACTCCATGTGTTAACAGATTTGGTCTAGTAGCTTCTAAATGAACCTTGCCAATGCTGAGATAACAAATCAGATAATTGAGTCAAAGCAAAATCAACTTGAAATCCCTCAAGTGAAGCCAGCGTTCAGGCACACAAAATGCCATCACTTTAGTTTCAAATGGAGGAAATGTTTTAATTCTCCCCAATCCAGATAACAGTGTAGGCTATGTGCTATATTAGAAGTGGTAGATGGGTTTAATTTTATGTACCATTTGCGTCCCACGGCTAAAACCTGATAATTTAAATCTAAAGGGCCTCTTTGAAGTGGTGGACTAACCCAGAAATCGCCAACTCAAGACCCTGAAGCTGTAGACAGCCGGTTCAGCTCTCTGTCAGGACAGTTGTACCCAAAGTGAGGGTTTTGTGCGATGTAGTTAACAACACATGTGATGCCAGGTGAGGATCTCAGTCCTGCCGTTACAGAGCAGGTATCCTCAGCTCTCCTCCTCTGTCTCCAGTGGGCAGAGGCAGAGATGGGAACTCTAAGGCTGGGGCTGACACTTGGTCAGGTTCAGTGGTCTGCTGCTCTTAGCTGATCTCCCTCCTTGGGAAAGCATTCTGCGCTTACAGTCCCTGTAGAAACTGACTCTTGGCATCCCCTTCAACACCTTCCTGAAAACATTTCTGCCCATGCCTGAAGTATAGCTGTCCTGGGAAAGATGTCTCATGGCATGGTGCATGTAAAGCGAGCAAAACTATCTCCCGAATATCTTGTACCAAAAGATCAATGCCAGCTCTCTGAATCTTTCATGCATGCAGCATCAGCACAGTTACTGAGCTTCTAGTTGAAAACCATGCAAGTTGTTGGAGATTACCATGGCCAAAAAGGTGATAGGTAATCCAGATCACAGCTGGGAGGCTGATACAGCGTCTGTTGGAACTGCAGGGGAATGAGAAGTGCTATGGCATAATTAATAATTGCAAGAGACTGTGATACTAAGTCTCACTTGAAAATTGCAAACTTAAAGCTCCTAGCCCGGCAGTCTAGAAGCTCTTTTCTATCTAACTCATCCAGTGTGACTTTTCCAGGTACTGACCAACATAGTACTGAATCAGGGCAAAACAGAATTGGTCTTTTAGAAACTCATGAAAACCAGCTTTACGATCCCACTTCTTACATTTTTTCCTCTTCTTGAAAGGAGCTGTGCTGTTTGAGGGATCAGTGCTGCCTCTGAAAGCCTACCAGATGGATTTCCAGATCTGGCTTGCATTCCCAATGGGAGTATTGCTGTGCTGTGTTCTTCAGACACTTGCTGTTCAACAACCTGCATCTCACAACTGCACCAGCGATGGTCAAAGAATATCCTTCAGCCACTCCTACAAGATTGACCTGCCCACGTCCGCTCAGATTAAGGTGGAAGCAGATCCATTACAGCATGAAGACAACAGTGGGGTGCAGCTAGATCCTGGGGAGGCTGATGAAAATGAAGAGCAGAATATAATCTTTAGGCACAACATTCATGTGCATGCACCCAAAGGGGAATGTGAAACCCACATTAAGGGTCTGCTTGAAAGGATGGAGAAGCTTGAGAAAGAGGTGGCAGAGCTGAGAGAAGTTTGCAGCCCTCAGAAGTGCTGTGGGGGAAGCCAAGGTAAGTAACAATTCCAGTATCTGTTCTTACATCCCAGATACAGCCTATTTAGTGCAGTGATTTGGGGTCTGGAACCCATTTGTCAAGGTTATATGGGTACTCCACAAGTTAAATGCTCAACTCCTACAGGTGGGATGGTGCTCTGTTTTTTATGATGTGAAAGGAAATCCGAAGGTCCCAAAATGTGGTAGTACATACCATTTCTGGAACCAACACAGGGGAAATCTCCCAGAAGTGGAAGGGAATAGTTTCTGAGTTTCACATAGATGGAAGGATACAATGGAGGAATTTCTGGGGGAGGGTGGAAGATGAGGGAGGCACGTTTTGTTACTGTCTTTTCCTTTCTCATTTTTGCCTGCAGAATTTTGCAGTTGTTGAGAATTTGTCTTTTTATTTCCTCCTTGATAACTGACTAAAAGAAGAGCGGAGTTTATGATGATGATGTTTTGTGGTGGCCACTGGCTCTTCCTGTGATCAAAGTTTTATGCCACATGGCCCTCTAAGAAAGGATTTAACAAACCGATGTTGTCTGGGAAATGGAGGCAGGGAGAAGTGCTAAGTCTTTGCTTACATGAAAAATACAGGTCTGTAGCAGATGAGGATAACGTGCTCTCCATCTTTATAATAACTGTGGTGAGAAATGGTAAGCTTAAATTACAGCCAGGAGGATTCAGGTCAGAGGTTGTGAAAAGCTTTCTAATTGACTCTCTGGGGTGGTTGTGGAATCTACATTCCTGCCAACTACGGAAGAATGTGTTGGGAAAAGCAAGGGTGGAGCTGTTCCCTCCCTGGACCTGGGGCAGGTGGACAAGGTGGTATCTTCAGGTCTTTTTCAGCCTGTATTTTCCAGGGATATTTATGCTTTCCCATTAATGACCTTGAAGACACCTTTGCACTACCTGTCTGTTGCTATATTCCTAATTTTTTTCTTTTTTTTTTTTTTTTATTTATTTTCTCTCATCTCTGTGTCACACTTGCTGTTGTGCATCCTGGTGCTGCTCTGTCCAGGTGTGTCGCACTGCAGCGGCCATGGGACTTTCCTCTATGAGAGTTGCAACTGTAAGTGTGCCGAGGGCTGGGAGGGCAGTGACTGCTCCCGTCCCACCTGCCCCAACCACTGCAACGGCCATGGGCGCTGCGATGGTGGGAAGTGTATCTGTGATGAGCCTTACTTCGGTGAGGACTGCAGCCAGCAGCTCTGTCCCGAGAACTGCAGCGGCAACGGGATCTGTGACACAGCCAAAGGGGTCTGCCAGTGCTACAAAGAGTTCATCGGAGAGGACTGCAGTGAGAAACGATGTCCCGGGGACTGCAGTGGCAATGGGTTCTGTGACACAGGAGAGTGCTATTGCCACAATGGCTTCTTTGGCGTTGACTGCTCCCAGGGTAAGGCATGCCTGTGAGTTATGTCTCCCTTCTTTCTTTCATTCTGAGTTTCCCTCTCTTCCTCCGATAAAAAATGTGGTTAATCCTGTAGGTAAGCTAGGCCTGGGGTTACCATGTTCCTCTCTGAGTTCCTGTTGGGTTAGAGATTGCTGACTGGTTCTTGTCTTCAAGAATTGCCTGGAAAACATTTCTGAATTGGGGAAAGGTGGAAACACAGTCAAAGTTTATGCTAGCACAAGCCTGTGTGTAGCAGCCGAAGGAGAAAACAAACTCAAGACTGTAGGAAGTGTTTAGATGTTTCTTGTGGGGCAGGGATACGTGGCACACCTGCCTACAAAAGGTATGCCCAGATGGAGGACCTCCTGCAGCAGGTGGCTGAGCTGCAAGAGGTTGTGAGAAGGCTATGTAACATCAGGGAGGCTGAGAAGGAGGTACATAGCTGGTTCCAAGCTCAGTCTGCAGTGGACCCTCAGCCAAACAACCAAAAACTCCCCCACTGGTACACAAAGAAGGGGGAGGGGGCAATAATGCAGAAGAATGGAAGCTTGCAAGAGCAAAGGCCAGCAGGGGGAAGAGACTCTTCCATAAGCCTGAGGTGCCCTTGCTGAACCACCTCACCGCTCAGCAGACTGAAAAGGATAGACCAGTCACATCAGGAGAGATGCTAGAGCTGAGTAAGGTAGCCTGATCCGCTCCCCATATAACAACCAGCGCACCTAAGAAAAGGTGATGAGTGATCGTAATAGGTGACTGTCTTCTGAGGGGTACGGAGGCACACATTTGCTGACCTGATGCACTCTCTAGAGAGGTGTGCTGCTTATCAGGGATGTCACTGAGAGACTACCAAGCCTCGTACAGTCCACTGACCATTATCCACTGCTGCTGTTTTCATGTGGGCACCAGGGGTACTGCCAGGGGAACCTCAGTCCATTCCACTCCTGTCAGTTGGATGCCAGTGCCAGCAATGCGTACCCAGGGCCTGGAGAAGGATCACAGGACAGCAGGAAAGCACCTGGAGTGCAGCACAAGGGAATTCCAGCCAGTAGGTCAGCTTCATGGGGGGCCCAACTTAAATGACTCTATGCAAAGGCATGTAGCATGGGGAATAAACAAAAGAAGTGAGACACGTGCATGCCTGCAGAGCTACAATCTTATTGGCATCACGGAGACATGGTGGGATGGCTCCTGTGACTGGGGTGTTGGAATGGAAGGATAGGCAGGGGAGACAAGGAGGGGGTGTCACCCTATATGTCGAGGAACAGCTGGAGTACATGGAGCTCTGCCTGGGGATGGATGAGGAGCTGACAGAGAGCTTATGGGTCAGGATTAAAGGGACGGCAGGGACAGGTTGATATTACAATGGGGATCTGCTACAGGCTATCCAACCAGGAAGACCAAGTGGACAAAGCCCTCTATAGACAGATTGGAGCAGCTTCATGTTCGCAAGCCCTGATCCTCATAGGGGACTTCAACCACCCTGATATCTGTTGGTGGGACAGCACAACAGGGTAAAGCAATCCAGGAGGTTCCTGGAATGCGTTGATGATAACTTCCTTTTCCAAGTGATAGAGGGGCCAATGAGGAGAGGTGCTATGCTGGACCTTGCTTTCACCAACTAAGAGGGGCTGGTAGGGAATGTGAAGCCCAAGGGCAGCCTTGGCTGCAGTGACCATGAAGTGGTGGAGTTCAAGATCCTTAGGGTGGCGAGGGGAGTGCACAGAAAGCTCACTACCCTGGACTTCAGGAGAGCAGACTTTGGCCTCTTCAGGGTTCTCCTTGGTAAAATACCATGGGATAAAGCCGTGGAGGGAAGAGGGGCCCAAGAAAACTGGTTAATATTCAAGGACCACCTCTGCCGAGCTCAGGAGTGATGCATCCCAACAAAGAAGAAGTCAGGCAAAAACACCAGGAGATGATTCCATGGATGAACAAGATGCTCCTGGACAAACTCAAACACAAAAAGGAAGCCTACAGAGGGTGGAAACAAGGACAGGTAGCCTGGGAGGAATAAGGAGAAATTGTCCAAGCAGCCAGGGATCAGGTTAGGAAAGCTAAAGCCCAGACAGAATTCAATCTGGCCAGGGAGATCAAGGGCAACAAGAAAAGCTTCTACATGTACATTAGTGATAAAAGGAAGACTAGGGAAAAAGAGGAAATGGAGAGGGCTGAGGTATTCAGTGACTTTTTTGCCTCACTGGCAAGTGCTCTAGCCACACTGCCCAAGTCAGAGAAGGCAAAGGCAGGGACTGGGAAAATGAAGAACCGCCCACTGCAGAAGATCGGGTTTGAGACCATTTAAGGGACCTGAAAGTACACAAGTCCATGGGACTTGATGAGATGTGTTCACAGGTCCTGAGGGAACTGGCAGATGAAGTTGCTAAGCCACTATCCGTCGTATTTAAGAAGTTGTGGCAGTCCAGTGAAGTTCCCAATGACTGGAAAAGGGGGAACGTAACCTCCATTTTTAAAAAGGGAAAAAAGGAGGACCTGGGGAACTACAGGCCGGTCAGTCTCACCTCTATGCCCAGCAAGATCATGGAGCGGATCGTTCTGGAAACTCTGCTAATGCACATGGGAAATAAGGAGGTGATCGGTGACAGCCAACATGGCTGCACTAAGGGCAAATCATGTCTGACAAATTTGGTGGTCTCCTACAATGGGGTTACAGCATTGGTGGGTAAGAGAAAAGCCACTGACATCATCTACCTGGACTTGTGCAAAGCATTTGACACGGTCCCACGTGATATCCTTGTCTCTAAACTGGAGAGACATAGATTTGATGGATGGAGCACTCAGTGGATAAGGAACTGGCTGGATGGTCACACTCAAAGAATTGTGGTCAACAGCTCCATGTCCAAGTGGAGACCAGTGATGAGTGGTATTCCTCAGGGGTCAGTATTGGATTGGTGCTGTTTAACATCTTTGTCGGTGACATGGTCAGTGGGATTGAGTGCACCCTCAGCAAGTTTGCCAACAACACCAAGCTGTGTGGAGCAGTTGACATGCTGGAGGCAAGGGATGCCATCCAGAGGGACCTGGACAGGCTTGAGAGGTGGACCCATGCCAACCTCATGAAGTTCAAAAAAGCCAAGTGCAAGGTCCGGCACGTGAGTCAGGGCAATCCCGTGCACAAATACAGGCTGGGCAGAGAATGGATTGAGAACTGCCCTGGGGGTGTTGGTTGATGAGAAATTCAACATGAGCCAGCAATGTATGCTCGCAACACAGAAGGCCAACCATATCCTGGGCTGCATCAAAAGAATCGTGGCCAGCAGGTCAAGGGAGGTGATTCTGCCCCTCTACTCTGTTCTGGTGAGACCCCACCCAGAGTACTGCATCCAGCTCCGGGGCCTCCAACATAAGAAGGACATGGACCTGTTGGAGCAAGTCCAGAGGAGGGCCACAAAGATGATCAGAAGGTTGAAGCACTTCTCCTGTTAAGACAGGCTGAGAGAGCTGGGGTTGTTCAGCCCGGAGAAGAGAAGGCTCTGGGGAAACCTTATGGCGGCCTTCCAGTATCTAAAGGCAGCCTATAGGAAAGATGAGGAGGGACTCTTTTTCAGAGAGTGTAGGACAAGGGGTACTGGTTTTAAACTGGAAGGGGATATATTTAGATATTAGGAAGAAATTTTTCACTATGGGCGTGGTGAGGCACTGGAACAAATTGCCCAGGGAAGTTGTAGATGCCCCATCCCTGGAAGTGTTCAAGGCCAGGTTGGATGGGGCTTTGGGCAACCTGGTCTAGTGGGAGGTGTCCCTGCCCATGGCAGGGGGGTTGGAACTCAGATAATCTTTAAGGTCCCTTCCAACCTAAACCATTCTATGAGAGAGCAAAACTGGGTATGGAGCCTGAATTAAGAAGGGAGCCAGGGTCTGTCTCTTGACATACAGATGAGACAATAGAAGGTAAAAAAAATGTTTGTTGCAGTGTGTTTTGTTTGCCAATAAGGTAGCTGATTTGATAAAACCTGTGAGACAAAGAATGCAGAAATCCTCTAAATAACCTCCCTTTGAAGTGAAGTCTTTGGGAAACTCTCCCTCATCCTGCTTTGTTACAAAGCAGTAGGGTTTGCCTGGGAGAAGGCCTGGCTGAGCTTTCCTTGAGGTGTGTGTCCAGCAATTTCTGCTTAAAGCTGGATGGCTTGGTGCCTATTGCGAAAAACCTGTAATCTCCCTATAACTGCAAGTTGATACGCCAGGCTTCAGCACTCAGCCTTTTACCCTGGAAGCCACCTTTCCTTTTCAGCGTATCACTGCTTAGTCTAATCTTTCACAGCTCCTCAGGAAGGAGAAATATGTAACAGCCACACAGTGAGCACCAGGTATCGCTCAGCAGGGGTTTGCAGTGACCTCACTGGCAGGTCTTTTCTGCTCTGGATCATCCCTCCCCTCTCAGGGCTGAGATGTCTGCTCGGAGTCTCGCCTTTTATTTAAAAGATTATTAGCTCAAATTCTTCATCCAAAAGAGAGCTCTGCGTCAAAACTTCACTCCCCCTTATCCTTCCACGCTATTCAGAGATCTTCTTCCTTCCACCTCTGCAGCTGTTTTACAGGCTGTGAAAGTGGCCTCTGTTCTCTGAGTATCCGAGTAAGCGAGCGCTACAGAATTAATAGGTATTGCACAATCCATTTTGCTACTGTTTCTGAGCAGTACGCCTCCATTCCTGTGTAACTATTTTAAGTCCAAAGGCAAATGGTTCATGTGTCAGCATTTAGAGCCAAGCGTTCCTCTCCCATAGCTGTCAAATTGTCTTTTATCTTCCAATTTGGATTAGATTTCTGCATTCTGGGAGATTTACACTGAGCACAGGTTTTATTTATATATTTATTTATTTATTATTATTACTACTATGGTTTTTATGTGTCTCAGATAATGAAATGACATATTTTGTTGTATATTGCCATGGTAACTGGAATGTCTGAACATCTAGAAGTTACCATCAGGCATGCACCAGTGTAATTAAGGTCTTGCAATTCCTTGTGAAGGAGAACTAGAGGACAAGGACACATTGAACGACAGGTATTTGCCTGTGCTCTTTTGGGACTTTGTTTACTGGCACTCCAAAATAGCACTGTGGGATATCTGAAGATGAATAAACCAGCAGTTTAAAACAAGGGTATCCACAAAAACAGTTGTTTGGTATCTCAGCGCAGTATTAGTTTAACCAGGAGGTCTGTATGTTGATGCTGTAATTAGGAAAATGGAAAGGAAAATAAAGAGGGACTCTGATGTTTCCAGGGGAGGAAGCGTTCGCAACAAGCCCCTGTGTGAGCTCTCAGCCCAGCGCTGGATCTGTAAATGTGCGGCTCATTTCCTGCTTGATTCGGCCATTAGAGCCTCAGCCGGCTTCCGGAGGAGAAGCTGCCTGATGGAGAGAGACTGATGAGAGCGAGCAGAATGCAAGATGGACACTGGCATGGCCCACAACCACCTGGCCTCCTAATTGACCTCACCAATTAGTGCTGTCTGTGATCAACCCTTTTGCTTCAGGCTAGGAGGTCCTCTGCTGTCAGAAAGCAAGAGGTTTTCAAGGGTAACCATGTCCAGTGGCTCCTTCCCCTTCACACCCTCACAGGGCCCCTTCTCCTGGCCCTTACCAGGTGTGTCTTTGTCAAGTCCTGAAGTGCTTGGGTTCATCATGTTGGCTGGAGAAGATGGCTCTGGTGCATCTTGGAGCAGAGCAAAAAGCACATTGCAAAAATAGATCTCCCTGGGCTACAGAGTCACTGCCTTTGCAAGAACCTCTTGTGAAAACACAAACTGCCCTAGGCATTGTCCTAAACTGATGATACTGGTTTCTTATGCCACATCTCTCCTCTTCAGAGAGTCCGATACAATCCTCTTCTGAACTATGCTTAGACAAGGGATAAACTACACCATATGTATTTAGGTTCTTTATTATTTTACTGCAAAGCTGGATTATTCAAATCCAGCTTCTGTATCACAAAGGGAGGCAGGCTGAATGTTCTCACATTTTGTTCAAAGTTTTCATCAAAAGCAATGGCATGCACATATTGAGGATGGAATTTCCTGAGAGCTGTGAATTATACGACGGAATGAATGCTGCCTTTCAAGTGAGAAGAATCTCATGGTGTTATCTCACCTAATGTTGCTGATGCATGCCTTTTTACAGGCACTTGCTACCTACTTTTTGCTATTGGTTAGTGCCTTGCTAATGAAATACAGCTGATAGATGGTTTGATCAGTTCATGATGTGCTTACTTGCAATTAAAATTAGGTAAGCTTTCTGACAGATGCTCTACATGATTGCTTTCAAGGGCTGCTTCAAGACAGCGATGAGCTATCTGTCTTGTGGCAAAAAGGTTAAGGCACTGTTGGTGTCCTGAAATTTATTATGTGCCACAGATTTGCCCAGGTCTCCTCCAGGCACCAAGTGTAAGTTTCCATCAGCATAAAAGATCGGTTTTGTACCTCTGCCACAGAGGAGCTGTGTTCCCCAGTTCTGGGGACCAGTTGACATTTTATTTCAAATTTCAAAACTCTAACAGTGATACGAAAAGAAGGTTTTGGCCTTTCTTTCTCTTCCTAGAGGCATTGTAAGGGACAGCTTTATGAAAGAGTTTTCCGCATGCCAGGGTGGGTTTAGAAGCTGGAAAGAAGAGTCCAGGAAATTTTTCTATTTGTGACTGATTGCAATATTCATTTGTATATAATGATAAGCTGTTGGACAGAAAGAAATGGACAAATACGAGATGATCACAGAGTGGGACTTCCAGTTTCGCATTCTCTCTGTAGTCAAAATAGGTTTGAAAAAAATTCTTGCTTGGCCATGTAAACCCTGGACCAAATGCTAAGACATCATCCTCATTACAATATTTTTCTTTGTTTCTCTTCTAGTGCTTGCTCCTCAGAACCTGCAGCTGCTGAACTCCACAGAGAACTCTCTGGCTGTCAGCTGGGATCAAATGATTGATGTGGATAATTACCTCATTAGCTACTATCCAGTAGGGTATGAGACATTGGTGAACAAAGTCCATGTGCCCAAGGAGCAGGTCAGCTATGAGATTGTGGGTCTCCACCCTGGCACCACATATAATGTCACGCTTCATCATGTGAAGAAAGGGATTGCCAGTGAGCCCAAGTATCTAGAAGCAAGTACAGGTAGGAGCAGGCAGTCTTTTTCTTCAAGGTCAGAAGTTGTAGATCTTTAAAGTTAGATTCAAACAAGTGGAGCAAATTGTTTGGCTTTGTAGGTTTGTAACATCCTGTCTGAGTGCTGGAGAGGACTTTCTCCTGCCAGTCTCAGCTGTATTTTTTTGCCGTTTTTCTCTTCTGGAGAATTTGTTTACAGATATGTATCATTGGGGCTCAATGCATTGCAAATTTCCTATCTCTCCCTTTATCTTGTCCAAAGCCATTGACACTCCTGAATTCCAGGGAATCCTACTGGAATGCCTACTGCAAAAAGCAGTAAGGGAAGCATGCAAGATAAGGCCAGCATGTTATTAAGAATAATGCACTGTTTAACTGGATGCAGAAGGGACGTTAAAGTAGGCAGGATGTCATTCCTAGGTACTAATTTGCCAAACATGCCTGTAGCAGTGAGTTTTTCTCATAGTCTCTTCCCAGAACTGAATGAGCCTGATGCTACTGAGGTTAGGAGACTGGGGTATGGAAAGACTGCATATTTGACACATTCTTTCTCTCTCTCTCGAACTGAAATGCTATTTTGTTAGCAGCTGATGCTGTCTGCTTACATTTGGCAAAAGCAGGGGAAAGTTTGGTTGTTTTGACTTTTTTCTTACTTCTAGCACAACAGGTGGGAGCTGAGAGCCAGAAAACTCTTGAGTTGGAGTGTTACCACAGATAAAACTAAGCCTGTTGAAATAATGATTGTGCTGTACTTGCTTAACTCTTCAGTTTGGCTCAGGAAGATGTCTCAGGTCTCACAGCAGGCAACTGGGGAGGGTGCGGGGCTGTTTAGCAACTTTCTATGTTATGTTCACCTTCTGGTGCTCATCCTGCTTCCTCATGGCCCTCTGCTGTCCTTCCCAGTCCTGTCTGCACTCAGTGCCGTATGGGTGACGGAGGAGATGGAGCACTCCCTGGAAGTGGAGTGGGAGAACCCACCAACAGATGTGGATTATTACAGGCTGAAGTTCAGATCCCTGGTAGAGATGGATGAGAAGCAGGTCGTGGTGCCCAAAAGCAATGACCCTAAGAGCAGACACATCATGACTGGTAAGTACTTGGGGGTATTCCAAACTGGGCAGGGGGAAGTATCAGGAGTGATTGATTGTCAGACCATAGTCCTGAGACAATTCTTCTCTTGTGTATAGATGGCCAGTTCTTGTTTACCTCATGCCTGCTGTAAGCCACGGTGAGGTATATTGGGGTTCCCCTATCCTGTAATAATGGGCATTTCCACGAGGAGAAAGCTTCTATGCTCTGTGGATAGCAAGTTTCAAGGCATAATCATTCAGCTTTAATTCTATACTTGTTAAGAATAAAGTATAGCTGATAACACTCACGTTAAGGAAATCCCCACTTAATGTGTATGTCAGTGTATGTGCTAATGGCAAGCCTGGACCAAAAGTGCTACCAAGGCATTCTGAAGACAAAAGGAAGTTAGATAGAAATCTAAACTTTAAGTTCCTCTCTGCTACAAACCAAGAACTGGGTAGACTAAACAAAATAGATTTCTTTAAGAAAAAATACTGTCTTCCCTAATTGCTTACAATGCTCCCCTTTACTCTTTGTAGGCCTGAAACCTGGCACAGAGTACGAGGTCACCGTCATACCTGTGAAAGACAATACAGAGGGGAAACCATCCTCAGTGAGTGGTAGGACTGGTACGTGGAAAGCATTTTTAATGATAGTGATGTTACTACAGCATTTGGGGACAGATCTGTCAAGATCACAGCATGAAAAGTGCACAATTGGCTGCTTCTTCATGCATGACTTGCCATCGGGTCTGCTTATGTCTTGTTTAAGCTTGTCTATGTCGTATATTAAACACTAAACCTAGCCCTAGCTCAGTCTTTTGCTTTGTTTTTAAACCTACAATAACTTCACCCTTAACTTGGCTAGCGGCTCCAGCCAGACACAGGATAAGCATAGTAAGCTGGCCTCTGTATGTAGTAACAACCCTCAAACAAGCTCAGAGCTAGGTCCAGTAGTAACTCAAAGTTTGCTGGTTCATGACCTCCCTAACTAGATCATTAGCTTAAACATAGCACACATGACTTGCCACCTGGGTATGGCCCTTCCTTGCAGATCCTCTGGGCAGCTGCCGCTGACTGCCTTGCAGCTACTAGGCTGCTGCTGATTTGACCGGTCTCTGAGCCCAGCAGCCGTAAAGAAGAGGACAAGTTCTTCTTCCTTACTGCATTGCCTGGCTCCAGCATTATTTTTCTGTTCACCAGACTGAACAGAACGGTTGGACTGAGGAGCAGATTAGCACAGCATTGCCAGGCTTGCATTTCACAGAATTCACAGAATTCACAGAATTGTTAGGGTTGGAAGGGACCTCTGGAGATCATCTAGTCCAACCCTCCTGCCAGAGCAGGGTCACCTACAGCACGTTACACAGGACAGCGTCCAGGCGGGTTTTGAATGTCTCCAGAGTGGGAGACTCCACCACCTCTCTGGGCAACCTGTTCCAGTGCTCCACTACCCTCAAATTTCAGCATTTCCACTGGGGGCTATTGTCCCAACCCGCTATGTGGTCTGATACACCTGCCCCCACGGAGGTGAAGTTGGGCTTGTCCAGTGGGCTGCACAGTGGCACAGCCCTGGCATTTCTGTGGTAGCTTGAGTCGTCAGCTCTTACATGTGAAGGGACTGAAGAGGCTTTGTCTACTTGCTGGCCCTTAGAGGTTGAAGCTTTGGACTGTTTTACTTTGTAACAGAGCCCGAGTCAGACATAGTAATCTCCAGCACAGAGAGAGCACAGAAGGATCTTTAAGCTGACTTCTGCTCTGACTGTGTGCCCAGTACAGCTCAGAAGGCCTGGCAGATGCTACTGCTACTTGGCTGTTATTTTTCTTGTAACTGGCATCTTAGGCATTCCAGACCTGAATGTTAAAGTAGATCTGGAAACCCTGTTGGTTGATTGATGCTTCAAGCTCTTCATAAACATGGCAGAATATTTTTGAGCTATTATATTGAAAGAAGATCTTGAAGAATTTTGAACTATCATTCTACCTGTAAGATTCTGTAAACTCTGAAATTCAGCTCTCTTACAAAACCGTAGGCAAAGACTGAAAAATCTCAAATCAGGCCTGATATTCCTGGGGTTGTCTTGTAAATTATTCTATTAAAAGAAAATTGATTTAAAACAACAAAACCTACAGCATCTACACTGCCGTTGTAAGGCTGTTCTTCTTCCTTGTGTAGACTCTGATTATTTGGAACACCCTGGGCTTGTGTTTTCAAGCTGTTCCTCACAGCCCTGGGGGCTGCAAAACTTCTTAGAAAGGAAAAACAAATGGTCAGTGAGTCATCCTGCTCATATTCCTATGTAACCCCTAGAACTTAGGAACTTTGGCTAAGACAAATACCAGCTATTGCTACCACTAAACTCTGATTCATCACCCAAAATAGCAGAATCCCTGGGGAAATCTGAGAGAGAGGTCTGCAAAACAGGCAGAAAAGGAAGAGCAACAAATGGCTGACACCAGAGGCAGAGAAGGGATGGGGCCTATATTTGGTGCTGTGAGGACGGCAAGGGAGAATGTTATTCTCAAGTTGGTACCCATGGAAGGTGAGGCAGGTAGCCTGCAAGCTCTTCCTGCAAAAAATAGTGGAAAGTTTCATCTAACTGGTAGAACAGTCCTGCTTTCTCCCCACTTTGACTATGCTGGTTTCTCGTGGATGCCTTTCCTGAGGGGCTGTAGGGGAAACCTGGGTGGCTCTGTTTTAGCTGGTCTAAGCAGCAAGGCAAAAATGAAATAAATGTGCATGTGTCGTGACAGGTATTGTAGTGGCTTAATTCAGCTGGAGTTTCCTAATCCTGCACTTTGAAATGTTCTCTCAGGAGTTGATAGCCCAACCAATGTGGCAACTGAGCAAGTGATGGAAGACACAGCCACTGTCTCATGGAATAAAGTTGAGGCTCCCATAGACAGGTACATGGTGAGATACACCTCAGCTGATGGGGACACCAAGGAAATACAGGTGGGGAGTGAAAATGATGTCATCACCTTACTGGATCTGAAGCCAGGCATGGAATATGTCATCCACATCTGGGCAGAGAAGGGACACCAGCGGAGCAAGAAGGCAAGCACCAGAGCTGTGACAAGTAAGTTGCAGCAGCAGCAGGGGAGCTGAGTTTGAGTTTCAAAACTCCTTCATCAATTTTACTTGTTTTTGTAAAGCTTCTCCTGCTTTGCACAGGTTTTTGGTGAGGCAAAAAAAAAATGTCATCCTTGCTAGTGTGGCTGACCAGGTCTCCAGCTCAGCTTGAAGATTCTCTGTTTTGAGTCCTGTTGTTGACAGGCCCTATGGGAAGGCAGCAGTTACTATTGGTGCAGAGAACAGTGAAATGCAGCCAAAACTAAAGCCTCATAACTGGAATGTGTAATTCATGCCTTGCCTTTAAAATGCCATAACCACCTCCAAGTTTGCCTTGCTAGTGTGGCTGACCAGGTCTCCAGCTCAGCTTGAAGATTCTCTGTTTTGAGTCCTGTTGTTGACAGGCCCTATGGGAAGGCAGCAGTTACTATTGGTGCAGAGAACAGTGAAATGCAGCCAAAACTAAAGCCTCATAACTGGAATGTGTAATTCATGCCTTGCCTTTAAAATGCCATAACCACCTCCAAGTTTGGTTTTTTTTTTTGGGGTGACTTGTGGCCTTTCCCAACAGGACAGGAGGCTCTTACACATTTTGTACAGACAGTCATGAAAGAGTGTTTGTTAAAAAGGGAAAAACAAATTTATTGGGATCATGGCATAAGGTGAGAATGAAATCTCCGAACAGGACATTTGGTCACTGTCCCTTGATGGTGGGAATCTCCAGTGGAAGGGTGCTTGCAGCAGGGTCTGCAGCTAGGTTGGGAGATGCCTTGAACCACTGGTTTGCTCAGTTCTTATAATCAAGCCAGTCGTGGTCCAATGTGGCTGTGTATTCAGGAGCAGTTTCTGCTCGTGATTTACAAATGTCTTGTTTATGTGCATTCTGTAATTCTGCAGTAGAAATTACCTAGGGGAGTGTTTGGGATGCTCCACTCAGGATGCTAAACAACACATTTAAGCATATAAATTGGACTAGATACAACAGGAGCTGACTCAGGGAATTTGTAGGACTGTCTGAAGTTCCCACCCAGAGGGGATTGGTAAGGATCAGTCAAATGCTTAATTATAAGGATCAGTCAGTCAACTACTTTCAAGTTGGTCCATTGTCTCAAGCCAGCTCATGTTCTCACTGATATAGGTGACTGGCTGGGAAGCTCCTGGACCACCCAGGGAGTTAAGGAGTTAAATGCACTGCATATGCATACAGGCAGAGCCTGTACCCAGCTGCAATGTAATTACAGCTAAAGAACAAACTTGATTTTCATATCACACAGGAAAATCATTCACTTGATTTTCTTGCCACAGGTGAGCATCTTGTACTGCTAACTAGCTGAGCTGTGATTATTCAAATATACGTTCCCAGGTGCACTAGTCTAGGGTGACACAAACGAGCCTAAGCATATTTCACTAAAATGAGAATTAATGTATTTTCATCTCACAAAAGAGGCAAGATTAGTACACACAGGTGGAAAATCACAACTTTTACCGTAGCTAATATGCGGTAAATCATAGTGCAGCTAAGCTGGTGTGTGGTAAATTACAGTGTGGCTGCCAGATGGTTGTGCATTTGTGCCCTGGAATTTAGAGCCTTTAGCACAATAAGCCAGAATAAGAAATGCTGTTCCAATAATTTGGGAGGCATCTGCAAGTCCTTCATTGCTCAGGCTATTGAGATCTATTTAGCAGTCTGTGAATAAAACAAAAACAAAACCCCACCACAAAAAAACACGTTCTCTGCATAGGTCAGGGGTTGTTGGGTTGTCCTTGAAGGGCCACATTCCTGCAGGCTGCTTTGTGATAGTGACTTAAGGCTCATGATTATTAGGCCTTAACATGAAGTCTAGCGTCATGTTTCTGTCTGTGAAAAGGGCAAGGGAAGGACTACGATAATGGGAGGAGATTGAAAATAGCTTTTCTTCTAGTGGAGAGTGTGAACATAGTTCTTGCTAGTGGTGTTGCCTGCTTCTTTACCTTCAGACCTTCTCTTAAGAAACTGCCAGCATAGTGACCACATAGTGGCCAGATGGCTGACAGAAGACACAGTCAGAGTTTCCTAGAATAGGGTTTGGCCTCCAATAGACAGGTACAACACAACCTTTCTTTGTGTTGGGGACACAAAGAACATGGAGGTGGGGAAGGACAAGAGCATCCGTCACTGATCTGACAGTAGTGAAGCCAAGCCAAAAGTACACCACCAGCCTCTGAGGAGAGAGGGGAACCCAGCATACATCAAAGCTGTGACAGGTTTTGCTTTAGTATGAAATAATCTTGTCCCAGGAGAGCTGCACTTCAGGCAGAGATTCTGAGCAGGCAGTTTGGTTTTTCGGGCTAATTCCCAGGGCAACCCAGACAAGAGGTGGTAATCTTCAGAAAGCAAGAGACAGTAACATCATATTCTGCACGGGCTTTCCTCTCTGCCTGTGCAGGGTCAGCTGTGCTTTTGTTGCCAGCAAAGAGCATGGCTGTTGTAGCTGTGAGGAGGAGACCTAGACCCCAGCTGAAATACCTCAGAATTGGGCACCTCCCAGCTTTGTAGTTCAGGCCTGTTCTTGATAAGAAATAAAGGATGAGAAGTGGAAGAAATTGGCTGGGCCCTTGAGGGGAAGGAGTAAGGGTAGCTTCATCGGGACAACCCATGTTCTTTACTCCTAACTATTCCTGCAGAAATCAACAGCCCAGCTCACCCAGCGCAGGGGCAGAGGGCTGACTGGCCCTGCCAAGCCTCGGCACTGACATGTAAGTCTGTATACCAATGCATCAAGAATGGTAGGACTTGCAAGTGGTGAGCCCCCTTGTTTTATCTACCTTGCACTGTATCCAACAGTACAAAATGGTTTGGGGCCACAATGGGACCTGCTTAAGTGTCAGTTATTTACACTGCATGATCATAGTATGGTTTGTAGCTAAAGATGAATCTTCTATTAGATTTACCAGTTTGAGCTGGGGAATAAAACAAGCAAGCTCTTGGACACACAAGCCCCTTTTAGGTCTTTGGGCATAGAATAATTTCCCAAAGCTCATCTGGTTTTCCAAATATATTTAATAGTCTAATAAAACATACTACCTCTGCCTATAAAACTTGTGTTGTCTGTGCCTTTCGACCATTGTGATTACCACAGCATTATTTAAACTTCTAATCATTGTGACTTTTGCTTATAGAAATTGACAGCCCAACTAAGCTGTTGACTGACCAAGTGACGGAAAATGCAATTACCGTTTCCTGGAACAAAGTCCAGGCTTCAATAGACAAATACAGAGTGAGCTACACCTCGGCTAATGGGGACACACAGGAGAGAGAGGTGGAGAAAGACAAGAATGTCACTACGTTGGCAGGACTGAAGCCAGGCACGGAGTACGTCATTTACATCTGGGCAGAAAAGGGAGAACAACAGAGCAAGAGGGCCAGCACTGAGGCTGTGACAGGTAAGAGGGCAATAGGTTGAGTTATAGAATCATAGAATGGTTAGGTTGGAAGGGACCTTAAAGATCATTGAGTTCCCACTCCCTGCCACAGGCAGCGACACCTCCCACTAGACCAGGTTGCCCAAAGCCCCATCTAACCTGGCCTCGAACACTTCCAGGGATGGGGCATCCCCAAGTGCCCTGCACAATTTATTCCAACGCCTCACCACCCTCATAGTGAAAAATTTCTTCCTGATATCTACCCTCTTCTAGTTTGAAGCCATTACCCCTCGTCCTATCACTACATGCCCTTGCAAAAAATCCCTCTCCAGCTTTCTTGCAGGTGCCTCTCGGATGCTGGAAAGTTGCTATAAGGTTTCCCCAGAGCCTTCTCTTCTCCAGGCTGAACAACCCCAGCTCTCTCAGCCTGTCTTCATAGAAGTGTTACAGCCCTCTGATCATCTTTGTGGCCCTCCTCTGGACTTGCTCCAACAGGTCCATGTCCTTCTTATGTTGGGGGCTCCGGAGGTGGATGCAATACTCCAGGTGGGGTCTTGCCAGAGCAGGGTAGAGGGGCAGAATCACCTCCCTTGACCTGCTGGCCACGATTCTTTTGATGCAGCCCAGGATATGGTTGGCCTTCTGTGTTGCGAGCATACATTGCTGGCTCATGTTGAGCTTCTCATCAACCAATACCCCCAGGGCAGTTCTCAATCCATTCTCTGCCCAGCCTGTATTTGTGCATGGGATTGCCCTGACCCACGTGCCGGACCTTGCACTTGGCTTTTTTGAACTTCATGAGGTTGGCATGGGTCCACCTCTCAAGCCTGTCCAGGTCCCTCTGAATGGCATCCCTTGCCTCCAGCATGTCAACTGCTCCACACAGCTTTGTGTTGTCGGCAAACTTGCTGAGGGGCACTCAATCCCAACATCCATGTCGCTGACAAAGATGTTAAACAGCACCGATCCCAATACTGACCCCTGAGGAACACCACTCATCACTACTCACCACTTGGAAATGGAGCCGTTGACCACAACTCTTAAAGTGCAACCCTCCAGCCAGTTCTTTATCCACTGAGTGCTCCATCCATCAAATCTATGTCTCTCCAATTTAGAGGCCAGGATGTTGTGTGGAGTGGTGTCAAATGCTTTGCACAAGTCCAGGTAGATGATGTCAGTTTCTCTTCCCTTATCCACCAACGCTGTAATGACTTCATAGAAGACCACCAAATTTTTCAGGCACAATTTGCCCTTAGTGAAGCCATGTTGGCTGTCACCAGTCACATCCTCATTTTCCATGTGCCTTAGCAGAGTTTCCAGGAGGATCTCCTCCGTGATCTTGCCGGGCACAGAAGGTTAAGAGTGTAAGTTACAGCCCAGTTTTGCCTTAACACTGACTAAGTCCATCCCAAGGCAGTTTCATAGCAGAGGGAGATTCAGGCTTAACAGACTGAGTCTTCATGTTAGTGCATCTTGCGGTGAAGCTTATTCAACTAATCACAGAGAGATTCTAATTATCTGTATGTACTGCCAATGGGCTGTGTTATGATTATTAATAGAGATTAGGGAAAATGAAGCCTTTGCAGCAGTGTCCCTTATTTGTGTAGTAGTCTTGTTTTATTTTAGTTGGTTAATTTGTTCATCACGGAATAGGGAAATGCTCAGCTCCTTTTTGCAGGTGAAGAAATTGAAGGGCAGAGAGATTAAGAGTATGCAGGATGCCTTTTCTTGCAACAGAATGATTAATCCTTGTTCCTCAGTTGTTCTTACCAGGACTTTTTCCTCTTTGGCCAGTACTGGTTCAGAAGGTGTTCAGATCTGCCCAGTGTGAGGGTTACTGGTTTGTAACAACATCATAAAGCTGAATGTCTGAACTGATTGCAAGCTGTTGAAAATGTTTACGAGACCCATGCTCTAGGTCAGGTACTTGCTGAAGGAAGATGAGTAAATGCATACCTGGGTTGCCCTGTCTCTTAACAGAGGAGCTTTGATTATTCTCTCACTTTCTGGACAGATGACACCTATGTGAGCTTCAGAGGCTTGTGACTGTGAGAAAATAAGAAAGTAACAATATCTTACTTTGTAAGGGCTCTCTTCTGTCCAGGTCAGGACTGGCTGTGCTGTTCCCTCAGAAAGCTTCTGTAAGAATTAAAGGATTAAAGACCCCAGTCAAATCACCTCAGACCTTGATACCTCCCAACTTTGCAAGTCCAATCAATGTGTTAATCAGAAATAGGACTTGAAAAAGAAAGAAACTGGTAAAGCCCTTGAGGGGAAGGAGTGTCACAGTACAGCCTGACCATGACAGCCTGTGTTCCTTGCTTTTAACTGTCCCTGCAGAAATTGACAGCCCAGCTCACCTGGTGACTGACCAAGTGACAGAGGACACAGCTACCATCTCCTGGGACAGGGTCCAGGCTCTCATAGATAGGTACATGGTGAACTATACCTCTGTTGATGGTGACACAGAGGAGATGGAAGTGGGAAAGAACCAGACTACCACGACTCTGACAGGACTGAAACCTGGCATTGAATATGTCATCTTCCTCTGGGCGGAGAAAGGAACCTGGCAAAGCAAGAGGATCAGCACTGAGGCAGTGACAGGTATTCCAGAGAATCTTTGTGCTTCTACATGGTGCTGTGTTGCAGAGGTGATTTCATTTCTGACCTGTTGCAGAGCATATACTAGACACCGGTTTGTCTAGTGTTGAGTGTTGGTGCTGCCTCAGTCTTGCATCTTTTTCTTTGCCTCATTGTACCCAGTGTTGGTGAGGACTCCAGGGCTGTGCATACTCCCAAGTAACCGGTCTAACGAATCTCTCTTGAGGCTGTGTCAGACCTAAATTCTTATGAACCTTAAATTTCAGTTGGACCTTCTTCTACACAATCATTCTTCCTTGTATCTCTGCTTGATATTTTACTCCTGAGGCCTCTGTATGAACATGGCTGTGCCTCAGTAACTTATCTTGTCTTATTTCTGTTCTGCATTGTCAATAGCAAGCGTAGTGATTAGCCACTGAGATACAGTAAAGCTACAGATGAGTTAGTCCATGTCATCCTTGGCTTCCTGAGGATCATGGGGCTTCAGAAAGCAAAAGTTTTAAGGGGAACATGTGTGTCTTTTAGTTACCCACATTTTCTACTCTGCACTTTATTTCTTAGAAATGGACAGCCCAAAGGATCTGATAACTGACCAAGTGACGGAAGACACAGTCACCATCTCCTGGGATGGCATCCAAGCTCCCATAGATAGGTATATGGTGAGCTACACTTCTGCTGATGGGGACACCAAGGAAATAGAAGTGGGGAAGGACAGGAGCGTTACCACCCTGACAGGACTGAAACCAGGCATGAAGTACACCATCCATCTCTGGGCAGAGCTGGGAAGCAAGGAGAGTAAGAGAGTGAGCATTGACACGCTGACAGGTAATTGTGGGCAGGAGGGAAGTGAAACGGGGTAGAAGGACCCTACTCCCTTGTTAATTTAAATTTCATCATCTGTCTTTACATTAGTGGGTAATGAATCTCCAGAAGGACTTTACCACTGTAGATCTTCAAGTATGTGAGTATAGATTACCATAACAGAGACTACTGTTAGAGAAGAGGCAGATGTCATAATACAGGACTAATGACAGTGGATGGTACCCAGCTTATTTCACTAGTCGTTAATCAAAAGCATGCAGTGCTTCATGTGCTGCTATCAAGCCTAATGATAACAGAGTTATCAATGGTTAAGTTAAACCATTTTAGAATTGGGGACAGTTAAAAATAATGGCCTGCCCTTTGACTCGTGACCTTAGACTGGTCCTAGGAGACTGCCAAGCAGACTTACATCTGTCCTCTTCAGTCAGCTGTAAGGATTATTGTGTACTGGGAACATTTCAGGGTCACTCCATATCCATTGGCCTTGCTAATGTACTTTTCTTAGTTTACGAATCAAGCTGGTATGAGATAAAACAGTTGAAGCTTGGATTTAGGGCAAGATGCCAAGCAGTTTCCCAGTGCTTACAGAGGTCGAGGGCAGCTGATGGGGACAAATGGAGATCTCTTGAGGCCAAAAGGCTGAACCTGTCTGGAACTGGAAATGCAAGGAGAGTTTCAGCAAAATGAAATGTTGGGGTTTTTTTGGAATTGGAATGAAAATAGAGACACCTGGAAATTTCACATGAAGTGAAGCTGCTGGGAGAGGGAATGCATTCAGCATTAGTACGGATGATATTGAAATATCTGCACAAAAAACCCCCATGTGGTGTGGTGTCTTTTTTGTTTGCTTGTTTGTTTGTTTTTTTTTGTTATATTTCCAAAAGTGATGACACCTCTGCTAAAATAATACAAGTTCTGAGGGGGGAAAAAAACTTCTTCTTACTCAAGGTGATGACTCGTTATTCCCTAGCATTCAAACCAGCTGTGGCAGGGAGCTGTTCTGTGGTGATCTTCTGCACCCATGGAAACTGCTGGACTGGTCTTCAAGATCAGTGCTGTGAAACTAGGACTCTCTAAGGTCGCCCTTTAGATCCTTTGCTTCTCGTGATGGATTTGGTGCCTTTTAGCTCCCTCTTCTGTCCAGTGGGAGGTATACATGTAATGAGCTACTCTGAGAGGATTTCTCTGTTGTTTCACTTAAAGTAATTGTTTAGTGGTCTCCCAAATGAAGCACGAGTTCATTAGATAATGAACTAATGCTTAACTTGGAGCCTAGTGAAAGGTGGTCTTCAGTTATAATGAATAGCCAGTGTTTTAAACAACATGCTCTGTGAATGTTCTTACTGTCCCTGTTGTTTCTCTATTCAGTGTTTTGATTTCTTCTTCTCTGCTTTTGTATCTGTTTTAAGTGGTAATGCTATACACAAGGAGTGCAGCGTTTCCTGGGAGAAACCACACTGCTCCACTCTTCTCGTTTATCGAAGACAGACGTAGCTTGGCCTTGTCTTCATCCATGGCCTTTTCACAACTCTAATATTTCACCGATGCATTATAATTGTTATGATTATCCTCATAGCACTCTTCAAGGTCTATGAAGTGTTGTTGCCTGGTTTATATGGAGAAGAACTGAATCAGCGTACAAGTTAAATGTCATGCCCGTAGTCCCCCAGGGAGGTCTATGGAAGAGCAGGGAATTGAGGTGAAATATTCAGTTATAGTTTGCTATAAACTCAGATGTACTTCAGGGTTGGAGCACTCTTCCCTGAAGGCCAGCACTGCCCACTGAGAACCTTCTTTCTAAAACTTGGAAAGCCAGACAAACCTATTCCTTAAATTGTTTTCCTTAAGATGTTCCCAAAACACTAGAATATAGCAAGCACGGGATGAGAAGTAGGGAGAGACTTCTTCCATTTTTGTTACTTCCAACTGAGCTTTAGAAACTGCTTTTATCCTGAGGGAAGCTCTGCAGCCCTGCTGTGGGTATCTCATAACACAGATGCTTTTTGACAACTGCTGTGAACTGGCATTACTTAAAAATAATTCTGTTCTCCTCATGCTGAACTTGGGCAGTCTGACTGCCCAGGAAAAGTCTGGCTAAGCCTTTGATGTCAGTGAAGGAGCTGGTGTCCCATATACAGCACAGACTAAACTGTAAAGTGGTGGGTTTCTTTGTATACCTGCATGTATTAAAGAAGGCTGAAGCATGACAACAATAAAGCCTGTGAAGTCATTCTTCATCTGCAGTAGGGAAACAAGGAGTAGGAGCTCTCAGCGGACCACACTAGGGCAATCTGTGCTCCAGGACTGGGACATAGACCCCAAACCTGACCCATCTCTGAATGTTCCTCAGAGATGAGCCTGATGGAGGCTTCTCAGGCAGATGTGTCAGGAACTCCTGGGCCCTGTACAGTTGAGCCAATTGCAGGGCTCACAAAACATTTCAAACCAGATCTGTAGCAGGCCTTTGCCATGTTTGATCTAGGCTTCTGCTGCTTCTTGCTAGCTGTGAAGGTTACTGGGTGACTTCAGTAGTTCCCAGTTCACAGAATCGGGCATTGAAAGCTCAGCCTAAGCTCTGCACTGCAGTTTCTGTCTTTCATTTATGCAATGGGACTTGAACTTTCTTTTCTTTTTCAATAGAGATTGATCCTCCCAAGAACCTCCGTGTATCAGATGTGACTCATTCTACTGGTGTGGTTACCTGGACTCCTTCTGCAGCACACATTGATGGCTACGCTCTGACCTACCAGGGTCGAGATGGCATAAGCAAGGTACAGAGAATTCCTCAGCCCTGCAGACCCCACTGAAATAAGTCTTTGATTATGGGCTCTGCCAGTTGGGTCTTGTGGGTATATGGTCTACAGAAAAACAATTTTGACGGGGAATTTATGCTATCCACAGCACAGGGAGGCAGAGCTTAAGTAAGGAGATATGCTGCTGTCTTGAGTAGAAGCTATGGAGGAACTCTGTGACAGTGGAACACCTCTTTCCAACAGATCTCCAGGTGCAGAGAACATGTTTGCTGCTTCACTTCTCTTTTCTAACTTGATATTACCTGGAAGGGCAGCACTCACCAGGATAGAGAGTCCTTAGTGTCCTAACAGCGTGTCTTGAGACCTTGCCCCAAATCCTCCCTCTGAGGAGACGGACTCCATGTTTCAAGGATATACAGTGAATGTGCCTGTCTGCACTCTACAAGACAAACCTGTAAATACATACGGAATATGAGACGCTGGGGTCCAGAAAAGCTAAATACTGTTCAGAATTGGATTGACCTTTGATGTGTTTTATTTGGCAGGAAGTACAGCTGAGTCCTAGTGAACAACGGTTTGTGCTGGAAGGACTGGAACAAGGAGTGCGGTATACCATCTTTGTGATGGCCTATAAGGGAGATCGCCAGAGCAAAAAGACAGACAGTACCTTTTCAACAGGTAGGATTTGGCCTTGGTTATTGCACTTTTCCCTGTGCTCGGCAGCTGTTGTGCTTTATGGTAGAGGTCAGAGATAGAGTTCATGTTCTACAAACACACTGGGTTGCCTAAGCAAACCATCTAGCGAATCAATGATGTCTTTCCTGGCTGGAAGTCCATTCTAAGCTGCACCATCTGGAGGCTTGGAAACACAATGGGATAGTGTGAACGGAGATTGCCCACACTGGTCAGTGCTGCTAGCAAACCTTGCTAGCCAAGCACGGAACAAAGCCTCTTGGTGAGCTGCCAGTGGGCAGGAGAGATGATGGTACACTAGAGGTCTTTCTGCACCATCCTAGTAATGGTAGGGCACAGCTGTTTAAGTACTGTTGTGGCATTGGTAGGCTGCCCAGGTTGTTTTCAGAGGTCAGAAAATGTACACCAGAATGGCAGCAAATCTAACAAAAGCTCATGCCAGCTTGCTGTGGGAGCCTCTTGTACTGTGCCAGTGTCCACAGGGACTGCCAATTGTGGACAAATTCTGAAATGCAGAGAAATTAGTCCCTGTTTACTGATACTCCCACCTTCACAAACAAGGGCTCCTCTTCCTGCTCTCACTGCAACCCAGGACTGCATCTCTTCCAGCCTCTGGGGAGCCCACCCATGGGCCAGCTCCCAGGCAGTGGGGAAGGTTGCCAGCAGCAGTTTGCTGATGCAGCTCACCATGTGAGTGCACGGTGGGGGCTGCTGGTTTCTTCTCTTCCAGTACTGTAGTCCTTAGGAGATTGCTAAGGGTGTGAAATGTCTCCTCCAGCTCTATGGCCTGCTTTGCTGATGTGAAGGCTTTTGCCATCTCTGTTCTTACAGTTAGCTTCCTCTACCCGTATCCCGCGGACTGCAGCCAGACACAGCAGAATGGAAATGCCTCTAGTGGCATGTACACTATTTACCTGAACGGGGATGGCAGCAGGCCGATACAGGTGTACTGTGACATGACCACTGATGGAGGCGGGTGGATAGTGAGTGATTCTCTGCTCCTCTCTCTTTTTTTTTTTTTTTTTTTTTTTTTTTAATGAATGTAATCAAGTGGACCTAGTACTGGTGTTAGCTGAGGCTCCTTTTGCTCTACTGCACTATGGTGTTTCAGCTCCTGCCTTGATGGAGTGGCATGTTTTAGGAAGGGTGGTGGATGCTGATGTATGCCCCCAGACTGTCAGAATAGCTCAAAGGCTTTTTCATTGTTTGGTCATGAATGCCGGAGAGGCTTATATTATTGCTGATGAAGGGCAATGACTGAGTTATGACAGCTTATTGTGTTATCTCTTGCTAGTTGGGTCACAGGAGTTGTATGTGAGGGTGCATTCAGCCCTGTCTTAAGATGAGGTAGTACAGCTTAGCTTAACTGCCTTTCATAATGAGTTAATTAAGCTCTATTATCTCATCCTGACCCCAGTATGAGGTTACATATATGGACAGTTAATGTAGTTCAGCTGATGCTTGTTAGTATTTTAAATGCTGATGCTTGTTAGTATTTTAAATGCTGGTGCTGTGAGCATGCACCTGGACCCTGACCACACAGCAGCTGTTGAGTGGCTCAAGGGAATCTGGAGGCAGAAGCACAAATGCTTTGAGGTGAGGAATGTGTATGAACATGAAAGAGTGAATCGGGGGTTCTCTGATAGCTGCCTCCCTAAACGACCAAATAAAAATACCTTTATTCCCTTCTTCACCTTTCATTTTCAGTGATAAGTGACTTTATTCACTGAAATAAATTGCTGCATGTTACTACCCAAGTCCCTCTGATTTTGGTGAAGTTTGGAAACCTGCGTGTCTCTGTGGATCTTGTCCCTAAGCTTGTTTTGTCTAAGTGTTTGGATCATGCTTAGATTTATGCTCTCCATAGGCTTTTGTGGAGAGTAAACTGTAAAACTTGCCCAACCAAGTATTCACCCCAGGTGCTTCTATGCAATCAAAAAATGGAAATGGATTCCTGTGTGTACCCTGCTAGAGTTGCCTGTTCCTGAATGCTTCACCTTTTTGTCTATTTGAATCAGGATGAGCATTTCTCACCCCCGTCTTCCCTGTCTCTCCTCGGCCTGTCATGAACTCTCACACAGAAATCTTTGCTTTGCAGGTGTTTCAGAGGCGGAGCACTGGTGAACTGGACTTCTACAAACGCTGGAAAGATTATGTGGAAGGCTTTGGAGATCCCACTGGGGAATTCTGGCTTGGTACAGTACAAGGGTGTGACCAAGTGAAGAGCTGAAGATTAGCTTTGTAGAAGCACCTAAATGATGAAATATCCAACCCTCTGAGCCTGCAGTCTGGAATTGTCAGCTTTTGTGTCTTCCCTAGAAGTGCCAGTGAAGCATTGAGGGATCTTAAAGGCTCACTATGTCTTTCCACTGGCATGTTTGGGCTTTGGAGTAGTCTCAGAGCAAGCCAAAATCTGGAAAAGTTTATTTCAGGCTTGTGTGTTCCTATAAGAAGAAAAATAAAGAAATTGGATTAATGGAAATGCAAAGTCCAGGATACTACACAGAACTTGGTGTATTAGGTCATTTTTTGTCTGTCTTGTTCTGTTAGAGAACTCTGCGTAGATCAGAGAATCCAGCACTAAATAGGTCAAAGTCTTTGGAGCAGGAGTTTTAGATGTTCTGGGAAAAATAATGTTGCACTACAGCCAGTCTTGCCTGGGTTTAGGCTGTTTGTTTTTTTCTGATACTGCTGTCTCTTGCCAGAAAATGAGATAAGACAGAATAAACTCGGCAAAATGTCATGACAGCATCAAGCAGGGAAGCAGGGAGGCAGGAAATAGCTGATTTAACCAAAACGGCCACAGGGTGAGAGTTTAGGACTGCAAAGATGAACAGGCTTTTCCCTTTTAAGAGTAATTCTTTTTTCTTCTAGGTCTTGACAAGCTGCACAATCTCACAAGCAGCAGCCCCATCCACTATGAGCTCCGGGTGGATTTGTGGACAGCCAGCGAATCTGTCTATGCTGTCTACGACTTCTTCCAGGTTGCATCAAGCAGGGACAGATACAGGTTGTCAGTGGGGAATTACAGAGGCAATGCTGGTGAGGAGTGCCTCGTACTTGTCCTGTCTGCTTTGCACAGGGAAGCAAATGCTGGGACTTGTGTATTTGTTTTGCCAGTAGCACAGGAGCTCATTAGATATCAGGAAGAAATTCTTTACTGTCAGGGTGGTGAGACACTGGCAGAGGTTCCCCAGGAAAGTTGTGGACGCCCCATCCCTGAAAGTGTTCAAGGCCAGGTTGGATGGGGCTTTGAGTAACCTGGTCTAGTGGAAGATGTCCCTGTCCATGGCAGGGGAGGTGGAACCAGATGATCTTTAAGATCCCGTCCAACTCTTAAGCATTCTATGATTTTATGATTATGTCAGGTTAGATCAGATGTGGTTCTGTTTGAGGAGAGAAGTGTGTACCTTCTGGGAAGATTGAGGAGAGTATGCCCCCAGGCCTGTCCCCTGCTGAAGACAGGAGAAAGCGTTGCTTTTTCATGGGGAAGAGGGGGCTCTGTAACCCAGTGAAACACCAGCTGAAAAGGCAGACTGAGAAGCATTTCCATGAGGTAACATGTCCGATGGAGGAGCAACTTCTAGGGGCTCCCCAGCTGAGAAGTGCAAAGGAAGTTGCTTTTTTTTCAGGATGGGAGTTTGCTCAAATCCTTCCCGTTGCCATTGTGTGCATAGTCTTCCACTTATCCTTTAATATACTCTTGCCATAAGATTTAGACCTTCAGATGGGGGGATCCAGCCCTTGGACATGCCGTCTAATAGCAGCCCTTTAGAAATTATTATCCAGACCCATGCTGTGCTGTTGCTTTTCCCCTGACAGGCCTGCTCTGTTCTGCCTGAAGGGTGTATAAGCTCTTAGGCTGAGCAACTGTAGTCTCCTATTCCTATTCATGTCTTTCATCCCTTCCCTTAGGGGATGCAATGACCTACCACAACGGCTGGAAGTTCACGACGTGGGACAGAGACAATGATGTGGCTCTCAGCAACTGTGCTCTGACACACCATGGCGCGTGGTGGTACAAGAACTGCCACTTGGCCAACCTCAATGGGAAATACGGGGAGACCAAGCACAGCGAGGTGAGTGGCAGAGCTCTATCTGGTGATCAGCTCTCTCCCCAGCCTTGAGAATACACATGGGGGGGATGTCTGTCCTTGGAGCAGGAGAGATTGCCCAGGCTATCCTAATTTAACTGAATTTGAAAGGAAAATGATCCACGAGGAAACTCGCAGCTCTTACTGTGTTCTCCCTGGATCCAGAGGACTTGAGCTCATGGCCCCCTGATTCTTGTGGGCAGAGATACTTGAGGTGGAGCTGTCTTGATTTCTGAGGAATCTGATCTCACTGGGATGCTGGCTTACTGTCCCATGTAGCCTGTACCCTGGCTTTCAGTGCATCTCATTGTACAGGCTTATTTTGGGCTTGAATGTGGCTCAGTCCTGTTGTGTTTCAAACTGGATGGAGACTGGATTTATACTAGTAGTGTCTGGAAGGCTGATTAGTCAAAATCTGGTGAACAATAGTGTCTCTGTTTATTGGAGGGTTAAATGGTATTAGAGGGGGGCAGTAGTAGATTCCCAACACCTGGTCTGGGTGCTTTAATAAAAGAAATTCCTTGGTCTTTTCCCAGGGGGTGAACTGGGAGCCATGGAAAGGCCATGAATTCTCCATTCCTTTTACCGAGATGAAGATCCGTCCTCAGTCTTCCAGCAATGAGCCAATCCTTGGGAGGAAGAAGAGGTCTCTATCAGGGAAGAGGAAGAAGATCAGGGCTTAAATGAAACTCTGTGCAGGACAGTACCCAAAGATTCGGTATTTCTTAACAAAGTTAGATTCAGACAGCTTTCTCCAATACATTGGAGACAGTCACTGACCGACATACACCCACAGACCTCTGGATTTGCAGTCTAGCGTGCTTCCAGCCTTTGGAGTTCCTGATGGGTGATCTGTCAGAGACTGGGAGGGGGCTTGTGGGGAGCACCCAACTTGTAGCTCCCCTGGTTGGCTAAACATGACAAGGACCTGCTTGACCCAATATATGCAACTTCTATGAACTTTACATAAAACAAGTTTTAACACGTGATGTTGTTTCTCAAAACCCAGGCTGCTAACTTCTGAATTCTGTCCTTTTCTGGTGCCATCCACTTTAGACTTAAAAAAATTAAATTTCATCCCACTAAAAAATAATAGATCCTTAACTGACATCAGAGGGAGCTTTTCTGAGGCCATCCCCTCTCCCTGTCTTGGTTTGTGGTCCCATTTTTCCTTTCTCCTCATAATTTGGGGCACATTCCCTACTCTTCTTCCGCTCAAAGAGCTGGGTTTTGGGAAATGTCAGGCTGCTGGCAAGGCTTATTAACCCAGGTGAGGTCTGTAGTCTGGGTTACTCAACCTCCAGTATCACATATCTCCAGGTGATTTGCTTTATATTTTGCTTGTCTCTTCTTGTCTCCCAGCCCAAGGAAAAGCCTGAGGAGACGTGCAGTGAATTAATGCTCACACTTCTGGGTGAGGCCCAGAACAGGGTGAGTGTAAAGGCTATACTCTTCCAAGCGCTGCTCACCATCCCGAGCCTGTCTCTGCATACTGCTTGCCTAAGAGGCCACTTACAGACCATGAACAAAATTCTCTATGACTGTCCCATCTGCCACCTTCTGCTCTTTCATTAGCAGTGTGGTAGCTAGTGATGCTGAAATGATAATGCTTGTCATCTGCCTCTAAAATGAACATCTCTGAGTTAAACCGATCCAGCACACTCCACCAGGCTTTTCTTTCAAGCTGTCTGCGGATTTGAGGGGGGCCAGTACATGGTTTCACATTTGGCTGCTTTTTTTTCCTCACAGCCATAAAGGTGAGCTTTATTTTCTTTCCCTGAGCAGATATTAAAATTCTAGACCACCAGCTACAGCCAGGGAAGAAGTATGAGCTCACCAAGTGATGCTTGCTCAAAGGCTTCCTTGTCTGAGCAGATTGGAACACGATTGTCCTATGTCCTATTAATGGCCTTTTCTATCCCAGTGCTAAGCTGAGTAATACATTTTAAAGAATCTTTCCCAGACTTTGGGGAAGCAATAAAATTGCAAATAAAGGAGGTCCTAAAATATTTCTGTATTCTTTGCTTTGGGTGGCAGAATTATTCCCCGCCCCCCCCACCTTAAACTAAGCCTTCTTTACAGAGATGGAGCAATACCCAGGCCCAGACTGGGGCTGTGAAAACTAGGTCTGTGGAGTCAGCTCCAAAACAGGGATGGGGACTATGTGACTTCTTCATGACTTAATACTGCAAAGCAATTAACTGATCTGTGGCTGCTAGGACCAGGCTGAGGAGGGCTCGCTAGAGAGTTGTCTCTCAAAGATGAGTACTAAATTCTTCATAGTACTTTCAGGGCTGTGCCTCTTGTGTGGGTGGGCAGGCAGAAACTCATCTGAGCTGCGTTAGGATATCCAAGCCCTGGTATGGGGGAGGAGGAGAGTAACGGAGAGAGGAGAGGAAAGGAAAATTGTACTTGGAGTGTTTTGCAGGCACTGTGCTAAGAGCATGAGAGAAGGACACCGGAAAATCATGAGGGTTCTTTACTGTGTGTGGTGAAGCGATTTCTCCCCATCGTCCGCTTGTCTGTAGGTGAGGACAGGTTTCACTATGTTGTTCAGTTACAGGGCACAGTGTAGATGTGAGGAAGGTGACTGAGGGGGACTGGAGGACTAGCCTCGCACACAGTCACTCTAAAAGTAAGCGTACACTCCAAAAAACAGCAGGCGTGATTGTGTCCAGCAGCTTTTTCCTGTGTGGAGACAAAATATGATCCCCTTCTAAAGCTGAATCTTACCTGAGAGCAGGGAATATTCTCTTAAGCAATACAAGCTTTGTATTTCAGCGGTGAAGGCAAATGAGACACCTTATTTGCAGTTTCTGGGGAGGATTGACTTGTCCCTCCTAATTATGGGCTCCTCTTTCACCAGGAAGGGCAGTCAAAGTGGAAGCGGCTGGAAAACCATTGTGGGAAGTCAGTATTTCCGAACAGCCACAGGATGGCATCATCTCTTCATGCTAGTGCAGGAGAAACTTCCCTGTATCCAGGTGGCCTCTGTGTAAAGACCTTTTTGGGGTTAACCAGAGTCTGTGCTACAGCTTTAGAAGCTGGGACTGCTCAAATAATGCAGTTTGTTTGCCTTCAGGAACTGGCTGTTCTGGTTTCAAGGCTCAGGCTGGTTGGGATAGTCCCATAAAAATGTCACATCCCCTTAGTACCCTTGTTTTGCTGCAGTGCCCAGCCCTGTAATGGTGATGCCGTAGGGCCAAAACAGATTCTCAAAACCTCTGCCTTGCCCTGAGATCACTTGAATTTTATAGCCAGTGAAGTTTGCAACATGCCCAGGGGCAGAATTTGAATCCCAGAAGGATCTTCTCTGCCTTGGCATCACTGTGTTGATGGGGACTATCCTGTTGGTGGGCCCCAGGAGCCAGGTCCTATTTGGGGTGCAGCATGGCCAGTGCTGCTGTGGGGGACCCCAGAGAAAGGCTGCTGCAGGGGGAGAGGTGGTGGATTCTTCACCCACCTCCCCACTGTCCCAGCAGGAGGAAGAGGAAGGCATGCCTCTGCCCAAAGATGTTGCGCTCTGAACGGTGTAATTTGCAAAGAAGACAGGAGAGTCTTATTGCACTGGGCAGTTGCTGGCAAAGCAGCAATGTTACTTCTGGTCACTGCTCTAGGCTTTGTTGGCTGAATAAATAGAGGAATAGTCAGTGAAGATCCTGTTGCCCCCCTCCTAGTGGGGTTTCGGGGGCCTGCGGGGACAATTTTTGCATCCCCTCAATCACTGGACTACTCCAGGATGCTCAACTTGACCTCAGCCCCTGCCTGTTTCTAACCTAAGACCCAGGAACCTTCCCTCTGCAGCCCACACAACCCAAGAATGCCTGGCCCTGAATATGGTGAGAAGCAAGGTGTGCACTACTCATTCCTTCCCAAAAAAAGTGTGTCTCTGCCATTTCTAGCTGCTTGTTGGTGGCAAGAGGCATGCAGGACTGCACCAGTCTCCTCTCAGCTCTCTGGGCAAGGTGCAGCTTGGTGCATCGTCCAGGTGAGAGGCAGGTTTCTTTTTTTCGTCCTCGTGGAGGGAGAGTTCAGCGGTGCACGATTTGGAAAGGCTCTGCCCAGCAGAGGTGTGCACCTGGTCCTGTGATGTGCCCAACGCAGACGGCTGCGAGAAGCTGCAGACACTATGAAATACTTGTCTGATCAAAACCAACTGTGGTTAACTAGTCCGCACTGCTGACCCTCTGCAGCCCAGCTCCTGCGGTGCTGAAACACTACTTTTCTACTCCCCACTACTTTTTGCCTTTGTGGAGAGGAGCTTTACTGTGTTCATTAAGAAGGTGAGGCCGTTAAACTCGATTAAGCTGAGCTGTTTCTTTAAGAAAACAGCTGGCTGCAGGCAGAGACCGCACAGCCTCTGTCTGCTGAGCTCTCTCCCTGTCTTATCTAGGGCCAGGACGCAGATACAAGAAAGATTTCCCCAGGAAAATAAACACGAGACTGAGAGCTAGAGACACGGCATTTGTTTGCAGATTGAGAGTCATTTATTTTTGGTTTTTAAAAAAAAAAAAAGAAATAATTTTTTTTTTTTTTACCCCCTGTTGTATGGTCCGTTTATGAAAACAAAAAGTTGCTACTGAAATGCAGTTGTGGGGAGGCAGTACAGAAGCGTCTGGAAAGCGGGGACCCACACAGCAGAATTTCTGTACCATGCATCTGCTGCCCCCTAGGTAGTGTGGGTGCTGTGGGGTTGCTGCTGCCCGGCTGATGGGTGACAGGTCCTGGGGCACCTTCGCTGCTCTTTCGCTTTTGTCTCAAGAAACAGCTGGTTCAGCGCACGGTTTGGCCAAAACAGCAGTCCTCAAGCAAGTCAGCCTCCCATGCTTTCTGGGGTGCAGAGGCTCGGTACATCCACTGGTTGGATGGATCAGGGCAGGGTTGTATCCTAGTCCCTCCTTGCCCTGCCCAGGGGTGGTCTGAATGATGATTTTTGGGGAGCTCTGGAAATTCAGACCTGGCTCTGACCTACCAAAAGCCTGGACTGGAAATGTTGTGTGTGACACAACACAGACATTTTCTTGACAGTTCTCTGGTTCCTGTAGGAATCGGTTGCCTCTCGCCTGAAACATTACTCGCTAACCCTTCTGGAGAAGGACCTTCTTGTGGGGAGCCATGCAAAGCCCGGCAGCTCCACACCAGGTAGGCTGTACTCTGCCGGAGCTGGCTGCCTCCCTGCCTCTGCTTGTTCGGGTAAGCCTCTGGCCTCCCATCATGTTTCCCTTTGCTCTGATTTTTTTTTTTTTTTTTTCTTTGGATTCCTCCAGGCAGCACCGCCCTTCCTCCAAGGCTGCTGGTGCCTCTGGATTGCTGCAGGAACACCTGCGTGGGCAGCTTTCCTGCCCGCAGGAGGAGGCTGCTTTGCCCACCTGGTGAGCGTGGAGGCAGGAGGGCTGGGAAAAGTACCTGGACAGGGGAAAGGAGGGAAGGAAGAAGGAATACTGCAAGTGTGGCACTGGTTCTCCAGGGTCCTGGCTGGACTGGGTGTTTGGGACAGAGCCCAGAGCTATCCCTGCATGTTTCTCTCTAGGATTAGGTGTGGCGAATCCTAATTTTTTTTATAGCATTATATGTTGCTTCCTGTTTTGGAGAAGGGACTCGCTTATTTCAATGCTAACAAAGCAAGCTGGAAAATAAGGCACATATGGGGTCAATTTAAAGGGCTGTGTGAGGAGGAGCCTGG